TCCCCTTGAGCTGGTTCCGATTCTTCTTCACCAGTAGCTGAGGACAATGGAGTGGCTTGAGCGACCACGTCAGATTCAAGGTCGACCTTATCCATCTTTCGTGTCTTGATGTGATCTATTAGGGCGGTTATGATCGTGTCAGCGGATATCTTCTTGCCCTTCGTGCCCAAAAAAGGTGCAATGTCGTACCCGTCGTCTTTTAGCAGCTTCAGTCTCTGGAAGTTACTGGCTTTCTGCCTCCACGTCTTGCGGTCCCAGACCTTGTCCAGACTTAATCCTTTGCGAATAATGTCCTGCTTCGCGAGGTGTTCCCACTCCTCGCAGTCTGGCAGAGGTTGCAAACTTTGAGAAGATTGTGGGATGATGGGACGTATGTTCGATGGGCCGGGCTGTGCTATGCATAAGTCGCCAGCGGACTCGTCAACCTGCGAAGACAATAACGTCGAAGATTTGGGCAATGTAGATGGTGCAGAGTGCTGTGCTGCTTGGCTCGAAAGAAAGGTATGCTTCTCGCGCATATTTTCAATCAAATCATCGTCCGGATGTTGATAGTTCATCAAATTGATGTTTGCAAGCGCCTGCGCTTGACTGAGCTGTTCGGGAGTGAGTTCTCGGGGCTGACGAACTCTAGAATTCTCCATGCGCTTGTTGGATCTTCCTGGGTCACAGAAAGTACGAGCTTCATGAGAGGTAGACTGGTGAGATTCCGTATTTCTCCACTTTCTAATGCGAGACATCTTATGCGTTGAGCGTCTTGCTATTATAATAAGTGTTTCGTAGGGGTTGCAAGGATGGTATGATATATCTGTGTGCTATGCAGGTACAGTTGAGCAGTTTCACTCTAAAGTACCTGCGTTTGAACCGGAGTATTCTTCTGTGTACGAGAGGGTACCAATTTGAAACAAGGAGTAAATGGTCGTGGAAAGAGCGAGAGATCGACGAAGAGTATGAACTGTTCCTACTTGTATGGGAGGAAAATTTGGTTTGTGGCGCAGATGACTCTCGTTCTGCAACATGTGACATGATCTCTGGCGCATGAAAGCGACACCCTATAGCTTTCACCAAGTAACCTTCACCAGGATGTTGGTGAAGAAAGGTATCAAAAGCAAGGAAGGGGATTCAGATAGTTCGTATCCATGAGCTATCGGTTGGTTAGTGTGAATCATGAATTATATAGTTGCCTGTATGGGTAATGTAAGTACGATTTCCTATAATGACGTTGATGGAAAGTATGGTTCAAGAAATCTTAGAAGAAATAAGGGTACAATGGGGTTTTCGGGAAAAGCCGACCAACTGGATGATCTTTGGGCCAACATTAGGTATGAGACTTGCGGTCACATAAGCCGTTTTTTCTGAGATCATCGCGACGTACAAACCGCAACGACCCGAGATTGTCAACCTGCAAAGCAAACCTCTTGTTGTGGTTGAGCTGATCGGTAATTTGACTCTTGCAAAAATGGTTCTTTGTGACATTTGAAAGGAGCGATCGAGCCACTGCTTCTTGAGATTAGAGTGTCGAGTTGCCTAAGTGTCTGATGTGATCTGCGCGGGTCCTGTTCGAACCATGGGCCGGCGCGCTGTCGAAAACGGGACCCTGGCCGGCTGCGGGATGTGACGACTCGCACTACGAGGGTATTACGAATCCTTTTCAGGACGTGCTTCTTTTTAAGGATGGCGTCGATGGTGTAGGTAGTCAACGCCAGTGGTTGCGGAAGACGCGTCGCGACGAACCTCCAGGAAGCGAGCGCGTGGAGAACGTGACACGCTAACATTAAGTTACGTCATTAGATCAACATCTAGCTTTTCGACCTCCTGATAACTTCTTTCATCTGTCCTGCTAATGTCGGATCGTCTTGAAGTGGTCTCGTTTTGGAATTCGATGTTGAAAATACAGCTCACGTCGCTCAATAAGCTCACAATGCACTTTCACCAGGCTAACGCCTTCCATCGCGACGACGCGCGACCTTTACGTTGGAATTCTGAGAAGTCGATCCCATGAAGCAGCATCCTTACTCACCAAATCATCGTTAGAATGTTCAACACCGTCTCGGCCTCGCGTGGGGCACTCGAAGACCAGGCTTTCTCCTTCACCTTCGCCATTGTCTTGTTCACGTCCTCATTGTTTCTCTCGCTTTCTCAACAGCATGCATATACGCACCTCGGTTCCTAAGTTTCCGGCCGAAGCATTTCGGTTCTGATTTTGCTCTGGCATGCACCTCGATGCTCCCATCCGTTTGTTGCACAATGTCACGTGAAAGGGTGCTTGCTGCCTGGCTGTTTGTCATTGGACATGCGTACTAGCGGCGATAATACAACTACTTCTATCCACACAACAAGCTGGTCCGATTAACAACCACATCGCTGACACCGATCGCATTCCCGACCTCGCTGCGGCGAACACAATTCGCCATGACTGCGCCCGGCCACAACCGTTATGCAATGTTCGCTAGCACAGAAGGTAGTGCAACTCAAGTGCCTAGTGCTGCTGCAGATCCTGCTCAGAATCCGTTCCTCAACCAGGTCGCCGATGACTCCATACCGTGGCAAGAGGTGAAGAAGCGTGGCCCTTCAGCAATGCAACCGGCACCACCAGTTCGCCCTCCGCGAGTTGTGAAGGACCGCACTAAAGCTATTCTCAACCACCCACTGGCTCACCGAGAGCGAGACCGGGCCATCTCGAGCTCAACAGACAATGACAGCGAGAAGGCATATGATCCACTCGAGAATTGGTGTGGTGTCTGCTCGCGCAAGTTCCTCAACAAGGCCGCATTGCTCAGTCATATCAAGCAGAGCAATGGTCACGAAAACTACTGCAATCTCTGCAAACGCGTGTTTGTGGACCGCAATGGTCTCAAGAACCATGTTGACCATTCGTGGAATCACGAGATCCACTGCAACCTCTGTCTTTCCGCCTTCAAAGATGACTGGGGTCTCAAAAACCACTTCGAGAACAACTACAGTGTTGGACATGAGTTCGTGTGTCTCACCTGTCTACTTGGTTTCAGAACCCGCCAAGAGATCGAGCGCCACCTTCAGACCGCTCCGAAGCATACATGGTGCGGAACATGCCAGCGCCGCTTCCGCAACCAGGATGAGCGCGATGAGCATTGGCAACAGACGAACAGTAAGTGCACAAAGGGTTTTCTTCATTGCTTGAGCCCATTCGCATACTTTGTTCCAATGTTTAGTGAAGTTTTACTTCAGCCCACTGTGTCATACAGACGTAACTGACCAAGGTAAGAGCATAGGCATTGCTTACAACCAGGCTGTGACTTCGATGGCCCGGATCAGGCCGCTCTCACACAGCACCTCAAACGCGATCACTTCCAGTGCGAAGGCTGCAAGCGCGTACTTCCAAGCCTGACCAAGCTCAATCAACACTACGAGAGCTGTTCTTTCGCACTTGCCTGCCCTCAATGTGGCGAGCACCACGCTGGGAAGGCCCAACTGGCTCTTCATCTTGAGCGCTGCTTTCTCTGCAATGATTGTGGCTATCATACGCACCACGAGGGCAACTACCACATCGTAAGTGGTTTGCCACGCTACTGGATCGCGACTGCCATGCTAACAACACGCTAGCACATGACAAAACACAGCTCCACCAGTATCGGTTGTTGGGGCTGCGACGCACCGATGCGCACCTACTCCAGTCTCATCAACCATCTGGAGTCAGGCAAGTGCCCGAAATTTTCTGAACCGGCGCTTCTCACGCGCTGTCTTGGCAAGTGGTGGTACTCACCACTTTATATGGATCTCGACATGCACGCATCTATCCGGACTGGCCGCGTTGACATCGACGAGGTACAGCATTGGTCAATTGCTGGTGTCATACACCCGTTTGTGTGCCGTGAAGAAGGCTGTGGAAAGGTCTTCGGTCATCTGAGCTCGTTGGTGTTGCATTGTGAGAGCCAGGCATGTGACTGGGGTGTTGACCGCTTGAACATGCCTGGGCTAGAGAAGGAATTCAAGCTGGTGTGTCTTCGGAGGGACAGCGCTATTGCATAAGCACTGTTCAAAGATGTGAGATAATCATAAGAATACCCAAGAATATGGATGCAACGCAGTATACAGCGAAATCCTTCTTTCGCCTAAGTCATTATTCCGACTATGTCAAGACATCCACAGCTGACTTTCGAGACTTGACCACCTAGCTGGTCGTTTATTCCTGCAGCGATGTCACTTCATCACCATGAGCAACAGTATGTAAGCAGGGAGATCGGGCCCGGGAGCCCTCAAGGGCGAAGCGGTCGCCTCATAATCCTATGGAAGCTCAGAACCACAGTACGATGGCGAGCATATCATATTTCCATCAATTGTAAGATCTCTGCGGAGGGTGCAAAGTCGAGAAGATCATCTTATCGGCTGAAGTGACGTTCTTGAGAACTTTCAGAGCCCTGACCAGCGGCCCGACAGTGTGTCAGATGGCTGCGCGGGCTTGAGATAGCTTACGTGCCTTTTCTCACATTGTATCAGAGAGCCATTGTGTGCTGATACAAAGGGCGGGTCTTCGTGCGCGTCGAAAGCAGGGGATTGTTGAAATGGCGGGAAGTTGGAGGGATCATAGCTAATAGCAAAATCAAGGCGTGAGCTTGAGAAGAAGAAACACCGTGAATAAGATAAACGTTTTCACACATTATCTTACCTGCAGTATTCACGCTCAAGCTTCATGCAGTGAAAGCCCTCCAATTGAGTTTTATATGCAAGTAGTGCTCTTGCGCAGATGCATACAAAGCAGACGTAGAATCGGAGAAGTATACACACGACCACTACTGGAGAAAGACGTTTAGGATATAATGCGATTCTCTTTACCTCAAGACCCTTCAAAGACACGCTCCTTACCTCAAACATGAGCAGAGGTTGGTATGAATAGGATCAGTGTAACATGGAAAAGTCGAGAAAATGCCGGCAAGCACTTTACGAACGACCAGCGACGAGAGCACCCATATTGTCATCGCTGCAACGTAACAGTCGCATTCTACCGTCCTCACTGCCTTGCGGTCCTACCTCCGCTTACTCTTCTCGCAATCCTTGCCCTCGAGACGTCCCGTAATCTTCTTCTCGAATTCATCAGGATGCAGTGTCCTACCGGTCTTGTCCCTGAAGCGCCAGCTAACCCTATTCCAGACCATAGAGCAATCCTGTTGTAGGATTCGAGCCACGAGACGTAAGTCATCTGCAGAGAAGGTATCGTCGGGTTTGACTTCGAGTTCGAGGGGACGGGTGGTGATGGGCTGGGCGTTGTTGTTGCTGCTGGCTTTGTGTTGAGAGCCAGTTTGTGAAGGAGTTTGCTTCGGAGGAAAGTTCTGTGTTGGAGCGGTCGAAGTCCATGGATCTGCCATGCTAGCATCGTCTTTTTTCTTGTCCTGATCGCTGTTCGAGTTCGTGTTCCAGTTTCCTCCACTGTTGGAATCCCATTTTACAGCAGCAGCATCAGCACCGTCTCGACCACCTGTAATGTTGCCAGAGACCCATCCACCCTTCGTGTCCCATTCACTAGTACCGGCGCCTGTAGTATCTCCTTTAAGGTCGTCCCACGAAATGTCCTTGTTGCCAGAGTCGTCTTTGTTGTCGCCCGTGTCTCTACTAGATAAATCAGGAAAGACATCACCATTTCCTCCCGGCATACCCCAAGCTTCAGCAACCCATGATGTCTCGTCTTTCTTCTCTCCCTCTTGGTTGCCATGTGTCTTCTCATCTTTCTTGTTACCTCCTTTGCTCTGGGCCTGATTATGGTTCTGCCTTTTCTCCTTCCCCTTCTTACCTGCACCCCCTTTACCCTCTCTGCCTTGGTTGTCTGCATTAGGTTTCCAACCCTTAGGCTTTATCTGGTTGAAGCGCTCGATACATTCATCTTTAGTCTTACCATCCAGCTCGTTGCCCATCTCAGCCCAGGTCTTTGAGGTCTCGGTTTTCATCTGTATCAGCCTCTCATCTTGTTCCTTTGTCCAAGCGTTTTTGTTTTCGTCTTTCTCGTCTCCCTCGCTGCCCTGAGCGGGATTGTCGCACGCTTCCGGACCGGTTGGAGCATTGGTCGGAGTGTCCCAAGCTGGTGTAGTCTCATCCTTCTTCTCGCCTGTCTTGTCATCGCCACCCGCAGCATCTCCAGCGTTTCCCCAAGCATTCGCGAGCGGATCATTGCTATCGTTGCCTGTGCTATCCAAGAACCCTGCATTTCCTTTCTTTGAACCCGAATCCTTGTTTCCATCTTTCACAGAAGCGTCGGCCCAATTGGTGTTGGCACCCCGCCAGTCACCTCCATCGACAGCGGGTTTGGTCGAAATTGCTTTCTTCGATGTATTCTTTACACTAAGCGCTTCCTTTGTCGACCGCTTGTCGGATGGCACCTTCGCAAGACTGGCTGCAGTGAGTCGCGGCTTCCCAGCGCCAGTAAGTTTGCCTTTACGTCCGTCACTAGCGGTCCACTCCATGATACGACCAGGAGTGGGAATCTGGCGATAGTTAGTCTGAGCAAATCCTCCAGAGTGTCCAATGAGAGTGCGCACTATGCTGACCGGCTGACTGGGCTTTCTAGCTTGCGGCGGAGGTGGAGGTACAGGCAACCTTACTTCCTTGTACGGCTTGTTGCTGAAGCCTAAAATATAGGCCATGGAGACCCTGCGGGGAACGCCATTCGTATCGGCCATCGTGACGGCTTGCATGTGCAGGCGTTATGTCTGAATCACGACTGTTGGCGTGTAGTATGACGGATGTTGTAATCTAAGGTTGACGAAGATCGAAAAGTGAAGTTCGAAGACAAGCAATAGATCGCGATCACACTGCGATGAGCTTCGTTTGACTGTGCGGGACATAAGCGCTGGTGTTACGGGAAACATATGTGAGCGTGTGGCCTGGCTGTTGGCTTGGCGAGCAGACCTATTCAGGGTCTACCGAGTCTTTCCTAAAACCTCCAACAAAAGACGACAGACGAAGAGTGTTTTTCCAGAGGGATTGACGTCAAATCCAACGATGGGTTGCATGAAATGAAAACAGTGACAGAA